ATTTGAATTACTTTTTTTTAATAAAAAGTAATAAAGTAAACAATACAAATTTATAGGCCTATAGAGTCAACAAATGAAAGAATTAAGGAAATAAAATAAAAATGATCGAACCTCATTTAAAAGTAAATAAATAAACTAGAAAAGAATTTTTTCGAGTTTTATTTTATATCTTCCTGTATATAATTGACTATTCTCGGGTCAACAGATTGAAAATAAGCTCGTAAAGTATATTTAATATGTGCATGTAAAACTTATAGGAAGATGAATGTTAAAAATAACATCGAGCCTTAGGATTCATTTTGTTTAGAACAATCATTTTTTTTTTCTAACAACAATGAGGAAGTTAAAAATGAACCATTTGTTTAACTGTAAAGAAACACATGTACACACACAGAGAGAAAAAATAAATGTTTATCCCTTTAATTTATTAAACAATTAATTGTTATCTGAATGGTTCAAGTAAAGCAGGTGAGATTTAAAATCGCTTTTAGATGCTGAATGTGAGAATTAAAACAGAAAATTGTTGATAAATTGGATATATATACACACAAATATAGGTTTATAAAAATATATATAGNATAATTTATTTACTTCCATTTAAATATTTTTTGTTATTTATTTTTTTTAATTAATTCATTTGTCAGCTTTGACACTAAAATTGTTTTATCAGACGAATTCATCTTTAAAACATCTAATAAGATATTGATTAAGGATGTGGATAAACTAGTTATTGTAATAATAATTTATAGTTTAAATTATTATTTAAGTCTACATTTTACGATTTCAAATTAAAAATTAAAAAATAAAATAAGGAAAATTTTAAGTAATTTTTTTTGTGTGTTTGTGTGTGTTTTCAGAACACGTTCTAGGTTAAAAACTCAGATTTCAAGCGCGAACCACCGATTATTTTAGAGGGTACTCTTTAATTATAATTTAAGTAGAGGGATGTAACACTAAAGTAGACCCTTTCTGTTCTTTCAAGCTCTACAAAAAAGGTAGTAATAAGACATAACTTAAGCCTGTTATCCCGAGAAACATTCGACTCAGTTATTTAAAAAAAAAATAAAAAAAAAAAACGAGTACTTTTCCTCGATTACACGTCAAAATTGCACTAGTATTTAATCCGAAAACATCACTCATTTTTACCACTTCGACCAATCCTTCAATGTCAAGTTACAAGGAAGACTTCATTAGACGATCAACAATTTTCCAAAAGAGGTTTTCTCCGTAAAGACCACATAAAAAGCTAGAGATCAAGAGAGAAGGGAAGAGAGAGAGAGAGAGAGAGAGAGAGACAGAGAGAAAAAAAAGGAGGTGCAGACTTTGACCTGACCCTAACAAGAAGCGGCAAAGAAAAGAGTTAAAGAATATTGTTGATTGTAGAGTAGTGTAGAATCTAGTCTGAAAATCGCATCATTACCCATCATGAATTATGTAGAGGATGTGGTGTCGTGACATGCAGGCCAACTGATGCTAATAGGCTAACTGGTTCGTGGCTATGATTGTATTGCATTCACGCATATGAGCATCAATTCAACAGCTGGCACTTTGCACGTTCCTTATTGGTGAATAAATCTGTATCCTTTAACTTTATCATTAAAATATTTTAAGAAAATGTTTTCCAGAAATTAAAAAAAAAGAATATATATATATATATTAACTTCGCTAGCATTTTAAATGTATTTCTATAGAAAAAACGTGAATTCTGACTAATGACTACACGTTTTGTGACATGTTAGCCTATTTTTTTCTGTCTGTTGAACTGTTGCGAGTAGGATTGTTGTTAATGCTTTTCACGATGTATGTCATAACCTCGATATTTATGGACGTTGTTTATGTTCGAGTTGAATAGTTCTTTTTTTTTAATGCGCATTATATTTAATTTAACAACGTTAGATGGGTACGATAGGAAGAGACTAAATTATCCCAAAATATTTGTGGGTTAAAAATGTCGAAATTTAGGATCCGTACACAAAAAGCCCGGTTTAATGGAGCGGATAAATCAGATATATTGCTTTTTCTAAAGCATTTTTCCCAACTAACCGCCTTCTTCTCCAAGATATTGCTCTCGGAGTCTATCAAAGTAGAAGCTGCAGAGGAGAAAGGAAAAGCAGAATAAGAAGAGAAAGAGGAAAAAAAACAAAATACAAAAGTTTAAAAAGTGATTAAAACCCGCTCGTGTCTTGTACGATTTAGAGAAATATTATTTAGGAAAAATTCTAATAAATAAAATTAACGAAAATTAAACTAAAATCGTTAATTCCTTTTCTCGTTAATGAAGTTTTATGTTCAATAAATAATCTAAAGTACAGTAGAAATATTCTCCGATTTGTATCTGTTATATGGTTTTGCTATTAAGCATTATGTTTTACAATTGATATTAATTATAATTTGTATCTTTATTACTAATAAAATTAATATCATTCGTCCATCAAAATATAGAAGAAGGTGGTAGAAGCAATTCTCCGGGTGAGCATAAATATTAGCAACGCTCCAAATGTTTCATCCTCATTCACTATAGCCTACAGCTTATGTTCCATCAATTGAAATGAATTGAAATTGCAAATTTCTAATTCTAGACTATAGTTATCGGATCATTTAACATTCAATCGTCCTTCGGTAAAATTGCGAAATTTTCAAGTGCACGCACAACATACTACAGGAGATCCAAACACGATACTTTCAATAGATTGAAAAAGCATCTTAAACTATACCTAAAATTTGCATTTTAGTCTCTCTCATAGCAATTTATAGCTCTAAACTGACTTCTGATTGAAATTAATACAGCAAGGATAACTTTAACAAATCTATGTTAACTATTAAGTAGGATTTAGTTAGTCTGTTCTAAATATCTCTCGTTAATAAACACGTAGATCTAGTCCCGTATAATTAATAAATTTGCATAGATTCACCCAGTTTATAAGCCAAAGTTTGTTTTAATATAATGATATTTTCTATCCATAATAAGCAACAAGTATTTAGTGTTGCTATGTATTGCTTATTGCTAATTATGACTTTAAAAATGAAGAAATTGGCAATATGTGTTAATGAAATTTTGCTATTTTTACGTATTTATTGGCTGTTTCTTTTTTTCTTTCTTATGTTAAATTTATCTCCGATCTTTCATAAGCCGTCGTTAAATTCCCAACTATGAGGGAGAGGTAAAAAAACTGTACTCTAGTAATTCGAAGTTTAGCATTCTCTCAAGTTATTAATCACTAGTATAATGATGTTAATCTTCCAATTTTCGATGATATCGGAGGAACAGAACAATTTCTATCACGAAAATTCATTCATTATCGGCAAGGTCTTCTCTTCTGCTCCGTCTACCTGCTCCCGAACATCATCGGTATGCACTTTATAGCTAATTACTAATTCGATGTGCGAAAAAGAAAATTAAATATTTAAAATAGTTGCTATTTTCTGTCGTACGGTAAATTTACGGCTAACATCAAGGCAGTATTGGGGTCAAGTAAAGTGTATTTATGGCCCCATTCCAAACTAGAGTGTCTGTGTCAATTGTAAGGTGTTTAATTTAGATTTATGTTCTCGCATAAACAGCATTTACATAGTAATGTTGCGGTGAGGTCAACAGGTAACGAAACTCTGCAATTCAGTCTGATTGGAAAAGGAAAGAAATCGATTCGGAGGAAACTCCGTAATCCACTCTACCTGATTGGTTAAGCTTTCACTAAGGGATTCCTATAGGTGTAAAAGTTGCTAGATATTCACTCCTTCTACAAATGCATTCGTGATTCAACGTTATTACTACCACTCTCGCCTCTTTCTCCACATTTTCAATGAATTTTCGATTCGTAAACTTTAAAACTTGTGCTAAAATTACACATCTATCCAGCGTAATAAAATGCAGTTTTTAAATTAGAAAATTATAAATTTTCTTTAAATAACTAATTTATAAATCAATTTATTAAAAAGAATAACATTTTAAATAATTTATAAGCTTATTTTTATCCTAATAAGTCTACATTACGTTTATATTTTTATGCAGTTTCCTCTTATAATCATTCTTCATCTTCATCTTCCATGATTAATTTCATCATTAAATTTGTTTAAAGATTCAGTTTTAAAATATTAAATGTTTTAATCATTGTTTATTTATTTTACTAGCATCATTTAAAGTCAAGATTAATATATTAAAACATTTATAAAATGTCGCAAACTTTTAAAAATTTAGAAAGCTTAAGAGATATCTGAAGACCGAGAGAGATTTTATAANATTACATTCTTAATTTTTGGAAAAAAAAATCATTTTATTTCTTGTGTCATCTATTCAATAAATATATAAATAGAATCAAACAAAAGAACAAATTTTAATGTTGATTAAGAAACAGAAATATATCTGTTAATTTATTTCTGATTTATTTATCAATCAGAAATAAATTAACAGATATATTTCTGTTTCTTAAGTTGTAATTAATACATAAATGTAGTTGATTATACAGTAGTCTAATAAGACTGTATTCGACTACATTTATCTTTAGATAATCAGATTTTAGATAATTAGATAATAATATGCATGAATTGATTTATAAAAAGAATATTATGATGTAATCCGAATGTCAGATTATTATCAGCATTGCTGGCAGACATCTTCAAATGATTTCCAGTTTCTTTTATCGTTAGCGTATCTCATTTAATAATCATTATGGCATAAAGAATCTGCAAATGTAATGCCAATATTATTGAATAAATACGCTAAATTTTCAGAATACAGTAAAAAATACGGAAAAATAAATTAATTTTTTAACACCAAATTTAAAGTTATTTATATATAGGCCTACTATTTTAATAAAACATTTTATATTATAAATGTCAATACAGCTATTATGAAAATTTATGCCAGAAGAAACAGATCTTTCGACATGCTTAAGTACACGCCTAACATCTGCAAAGAATTAAATACGAAATATATGGTGCAATATCTACTCCGTGATTATATATCGATAATGGATTGACTAGTCTTAGATAATTAAAAAAAAGGGGGCAGCTAAAGAATTATTTAATTGCAATGTTGTATCTTAAGTTTTTAAGATTAACTTTTCTAACATTTGAAGTTAACACGTTATAGTTAACGTTTTACCTCATTAGGAGTGGCTACAATGTCTTCAATGTGTGAAGAAGAAAGTTGTGCTGTTAGTAGCGGCAAAAGATTTGACGCAGGTTTAACAGTAGCGCATGAAATTGGTCACAGGTAACTTAATAAATTTGTAAAGTAAAATTATTTATAAACACTTGTTAATTAAATGTGAGAAATTCGAAAAATATTCTACGTGATGATTCTACGTAATAGAATATTTTACTATAGAATACTATATGTTAATCTGTGATGAAGTCGCTTTTTCAATGTATAGAATATTAAAAAACGATAATTTATTTCAATTTTTATTACATTAATGTTAGTATATTAATTGCGTCTCGTTAAATATTGAATTATTACTTAATTTAAAGTTTATCTATGGATCACGATGGGATCAGTAATTCCTGCAATTCATCGAAAAATATCATGTCACCATCTGCAGGAGCAGGAAAAACGACTTGGTCCACTTGCAGTAATTCTTATCTGAAGATGTTTTTAAAGTTCGTTTTATTGAAAAGATCTCTTTATGTACTATAATTAATATTGTATAATAACAGTTATTTTGATTAACAATTATTTCAGAACACCACAAGCTTCTTGCTTATACAAAAATATTTCCAGCAAACAATATAACTTAACGTTGGATAATAAGTTACCAGGTGAAAAGTATCCACCTGATGTACAATGCGAATTGTTTTATGGGAAGCAATACAAAGCATATTATGGCGAATCAGAAGTAAGTACTGTATTCATTTTACTTTCACTCAATGTAACGTATTTATCTTCTGTTATTATACATATAAAAGTAAATAAATAAACTAGAAAAGAATTTTTTCGAGTTTTATTTTATATCTTCCTGTATATAATTGACTATTCTCGGGTCAACAGATTGAAAATAAGCTCGTAAAGTATATTTAATATGTGCATGTAAAACTTATAGGAAGATGAATGTTAAAAATAACATCGAGCCTTAGGATTCATTTTGTTTAGAACAATCATTTTTTTTTTCTAACAACAATGAGGAAGTTAAAAATGAACCATTTGTTTAACTGTAAAGAAACACATGTACACACACAGAGAGAAAAAATAAATGTTTATCCCTTTAATTTATTAAACAATTAATTGTTATCTGAATGGTTCAAGTAAAGCAGGTGAGATTTAAAATCGCTTTTAGATGCTGAATGTGAGAATTAAAACAGAAAATTGTTGATAAATTGGATATATATACACACAAATATAGGTTTATAAAAATATATATAGACTATAGGGCCTATACATATTTAAACATGAACAATACGATGTATTATTACATACATTTGTACAGTTCTTCTGAAAAATTTATATTGGATATTTTAATTAAAAATCTTTAAAAAACAGATATTAGAGTATCGTTGTAAATGGTAACCACCCAATAATTAAAAGTCATTGTAATTAATTTATATAAAAGAAGATTAGGATAGGAATCCCTCCCTCGATTGATACTGTAAATATAATTTATGTTTTTAGTCATAACAGGAAAACATGCAGAGGTGTCTCCTATAATTATCGGCTTTGGTATGTTATATTCAGATTATATCGTACCGATCTGATAATTATTTAATTAAACTTTTAAATATCTAACTAATTATAACTTTTAAGACCGTTGGAAGACTTATCTTGGAGCGAAATCACTCCACAATTTGTTATTGTAAAAATTATCTTTGCAAGGAATCAAAGAGAAGGTAAGTTCGGCTTGCTATTTCTTAAAATTTCATTGGTTTTTGTGGTGTTTTAATTTTTAAAAAAAAACACAATAAAAAATCTTAGTTTATATATCATTGACTGTTATTTTAACAAAGAGAAAGTCGATGTCAAGGAGTTTTGGGCCTGTGTTAGAAGAGGTTGACAGTTGCAGTATCGGCCTGGTTACGAAATCCAAAGTTTACAACTAAAAATTTCCAATGAGGTTTAGATAATGGACGGAAGTTAGTAAGTCTAACAAGGAAAATGATGTTAACTCCAGAAGTTCCTGTAAATAATGTAAGAGGACAACAGTGAGCCAGTGGTCAAATATAGACCGAGTCTGGACAACATGGTCTGGGAGGATCCGAGTCTTGTGCATCAGGAGTCATTAAGTTATCCCCTTTTCTCGTCTAACTGTCACCTAATGACTCTCTTACGTGAAGATTGAACGTGGAAAAGTTTTATTTTAATTGTCATCAGTCATAAGTTGATAATTATCCGATATTATAAGGCCGCTGGTTGAATTTGAAAGCGGCCGATCTAAGTTTTTTTTTTTTTAAAAAAAAGAAGTGAAATAAAAGTTTATCTGCCAAACTTGAACGAATAAATTTAAAAAAAAAAAATATTATCACGCAAATAGAATTTAAATATTTATACAAGTTTATTTAATATTTATTTACTGATATTAAATCAATACAGTTATTTTGAGTTTAATATCTTGTGTTAAAATTTAAATGTATATTTTTCAAAGTTAAATCTTTGATATTTACTTTAAAAAATTTAAGAAAATAATATTTTCAATTTAACGTAATTTGTTCTTATCGAAAAATCCACGCTTTATCATTTAAAATAAGTGTATTAAAATCGTTAAATCATCGGACATATTCAATATTTTTTCCGCATGTTCAAACTCTAATATTTATATTAAACGACAGATGGCGCTAGCTTATAATCGGTTTGACGGTTATGAAACTCCATACGTTTTCAATTAATAATTAAAAATTGAAAAAAATAATAAAAATTGCGTATAATAAATTCGATCATTTATACAGAATTTGTTAATTCTTTATGAGAAATATTTTCGTATATTTAAAAAATGATTCCGAAACGAATCGAAAATTTTAAATAATTATTATATACTGTACTGTGTATAAGGTAAGATTTTATGGGTGTGTACGCGGTGTTTATCGATTTTGAAAATTCCGAAAATTAATTACTCGTTCGGAATTATTTGAATTGGGAGGAACGCGAATTAATCTCCGGAAGAATGGAGAAACAGGTGTTAACAGGGACAATATGGTGAGAGGAAATATAGCAAATTTTCGGCGGAATCGATGCAGGTGTATCATACACCTGCAGGATATACAACGTGAGAACGGAACTAAGGCTAGGTATCTTGTCGGAAATAGAGGGGAAAAAAATATATATAAAAATTCCACAGTATCATACCAGTGGTGTTCTTTAACTGTTCCTAAAGGAGTTATATACAAAAGTCACAACCCGTTTGTACTTTTAAGAAAGAAATTTTATTGACTTCAGGCGTCACTTTACAACTCGCAGACAAAAGAACGATGTCTATATTTTTTCCCGAACACTTCGCAGTTACAGAATCGAAAACTGCCATTTCTATTGTTATCCCGGTTCGGATTTTAAAAGTCACAAATCAGATGAACCGAAACGAGTTACAGAATGGCTTATTAGAAATACAAATATATATATATCAAGTATATAAAATCAATATTGGCTGAAATTTTCGTTATAATTTACATATTATCCAGTGGATCCAGGTGTATCACCTGAAAGATTTATAGATTAAAACTCTTCTTCCCTTTATTATTTTTTGTTGTTTCTTTTTTTCTTTTCTTTTTGGTTGCTTTTCGATCTTCCGAACGCTAGAGCAAACAAAGGATCGCACGTTTTGGGATTCGCCAGCTTATACAGACTTCAGTCGATCAGCTCAATGTAGCCACGAATAGATAAGGCACGACAACCGCAACTACTCATGCAAGAGACGAATAAAGATAAGAACTATCTGCCAGGCCAATTTTCGGCCTCTCTATGCGTGGCCCATTTTTTCCTTTTTTTTTTAAGACCATGGGCTAGATTTTAGTAGGCCTAAGCTGTTGCGGCTTATATTATAGTGGAGTCTAAGCGTTATTTTTTTCGGATGGTAAATTAATTTAGAAAGAAAATATATCCAATTTGTATTATTGTTTCGAAGAAATCCGCTTCTGGTACAAAAATGGCATAAAGTGAATAATGGTTGGGAGCCAACAATTCTCCTTTTTGAATCTTTGTTGAACTGCAAAATCGCAATCCAATTTCTCAACTGTCACATCGATTTGAAGGCAAACTTTCCGCTTTTCGAAAATCATTCTCGATCAGGTGGCGTAACATCAACAAGGATCTCCAAATGTGACCTTCTATTTCACCTAACAAGTTCGAGGAGGAGGTGTATAACAACGTCCAACGATATACCGTTTGACTTCAGCCCGCACACCCGGAGGGCCATCAGGGATTGACGAGTTGATCACAACGATGGTGCCAGCTGTCTTTTCATGAGCTCTGACTTTTTTTTTTATTTTGTTTTTTTGTCTTACTTCTTTCTTTCTTGTCCGGTTTTTCTTTGGTGACACCACTGTTCAACCCACCCGCAGTTCTACGTCACAGCTCGATGATCCAGTGATTAGATTGTGTTCGTCTTCCGTGTCTAATCACAACGTCGACACATTTCGCTTTAATTACAACATATTTAGTAACATTCTGTCTCTTTGAGTCGATGACTGTGCACGTTAAAGAGTAGTGTCATTGATGTATGGTTGTTACCAACCGCTTCTTTTCTCTCTCGCAATCTGTCATCCTGTAGATGCTATATCGAATCTATAAAATGAACTCGAAACGTTGTTTGTGTGTAAACATAAAAGTCACTAAGAGTATTAAATTAATGTATTTTTGCCATTAAAGAAATTCTTTTTCCAACATATGTTTGTAAGAATGAGTTAAAGTGTTGTATGAAGTATAGAAACGAATTAGACTTGTATCAAAATATCCAGGATTTTTTTAGTAAAATCAACCCTCATTACCGCCAAGTCGGTATCGTCTCCGCAGCCAGAGCTTATCACAACAACAGAAGCATTAAAGAAACAAATTTTAATTAGTATTTAGGGAAAGTTACAAAAATTTTTACAAAACTTCAAACCCGCTTTCAACCAATAAAAGAGGGAGGAGGAAAAATCTCGGCAAGAGGTGGAAATGACAAATGGCGTCTAGCGTATGTTTATTGATAAGTTGGCTTTGATGACAGACAACAATTGACAAAAAGTGCCAAAACAGAACGAAATACTCGTGCTGCGAGTTTAAACGGATTAATAAAAAACTCAACCCAAAGTTCATTGTTCAACTTGTGGTAACTGTTATTTTCCAGCACATAATTACAGAAGTCATATTAATTTAGCCGAAATCGTACAGACGCAACTGAATGCTAAATGTAATTAGTAGCAGCTGGCGACAGATCCATTAGCCTAATGACAGTCCGAACGTAGTATGGTCGAGATGTGATAGGAACCACGGGTTAGAGTGTCATCTGTCTTAGCAGACAACGGGATTACCACTTATCCACAACATTGTCTCTTCTAACTCGCTACTCCACTCCTACTTTTTATTTTTTTTTTCTGTTTTCCTGTCCGGTTCCTGTTCTCTATCCACCTTCTAAACCACTGCGCTATACAATAAACTCGCTAGTTTATATTTAAATTAAAGCCACAACCAGTTACTATGTAACAAATTAAGAAAAGCTATTTCTATGATATAGAAAAGTACACACCCCTTTTAAAAACTTTTTCTTTCTCGTAAGTTAAAACGATTCTGGGAGTCTACCTGCAGATAAATAGCCACCTCTCTTTCGTGCTCTTGGAATAAATTAATGTCCTTCGTGTCAAGGTAACGTATGTCTATGGATACCATTACCAACAAATTAACCTTCATCTGACAATGGAGGCTACTTGCTCGAAATTATACCTACATTATTCTATAGCTTATCTTAAGCTATACGCTAGCTACGACAGGTAATTTCATATATGACTATTCTAGAAATTAGATCTTTGTTTTTGGTTGTATCTGCTGATGAAAACTGATAGTGAAGGGAATTTTTAATGAATCTATAGTTCTAGTTATTACTCTAAGCCCCTAGAGATAAAAAAAAATGGTTTCTTAATTTAGTTTGTTGCAGTTGAATTATGTTTAGTTCCTTTTATGGATGAGCTAATTCTTTAAACCACATTAATTGTCTTAGTTCTTCGATTATCATTCTTAAATTATCTTGTACTTGGTTGAGGGTCTGGTCTATAATTGTATGTCTACTCTTGTTAAAAATCTCTCTGTGGTATCTAAACATCTAGGTTACCTCCCTTAAAATCTATAGAAAATATCTTCAAAATTACCACTATAATTAATTTTTAGCATTAAATATAGGGGAGATCGGGGCAAGATCGGCATGTTAAGCTTTACTTACATTTTGTGTAATAAATACTGCAGTAAACTGAAAAAAAAGCTTTGCATATTGTCTATTGGAATGTTACCTTACTATAGAACTGGTTAAAATCAGTTTGGAACTAAAAATAATTAAAATAATTACAACNTTTAATATTTTAAAATATAAGTCATTAATAAATTATAATGCTATAATTATTGTTATAGTACTTAATATTTTAAGATGAAATGTCTTAAGTCATAAAAGAATAAGTAATTAAAACATTAAAAAAGACAGTTTTTAAAAGGGAATTTGTATTTCTAAACTTGTCTGGCATTTAATTTTCTTACTGTTTTATCCTTTTAATAATATTTACCATTAATTATGATAATCCTTTCTTAAATATTAGCAATATCGATGCTAATATTTGCAAATGTCTTATTATTTTCATTGTTTTATTTGCATTTATTTTTTGTGACTAGTTACAAAGTTTTCACTATTAATGCAAAGTAAGATTTCTTCTTTTAATGTTTATACATACTTTTTCAATTTTATAAATTTATTTATAATTTTAGAAATTTATTCTTTATATTTTAAGTCGTGCTATATCTTACGAAATAATTTCATTTCGTTAATCAGTTTTATTTTTAAGTGGTGTAAATGAATTTAATCAGTTAAAAAAGTTTTTTTTTTGTAAGTTATTAAATCTATATTGATTGTTTCGAGTGATTAAATTTGAATATTTTAAATAATTAACGCAATATTCTCATTTTGTAAAGTAATTTTGCTATAGGGAAAATTTAAAATTGAAAAATTATGCATTTTATTTTAATTGTTTAATTAAATTGTAAATATATCTTTTGAATAATTTAAATCTTACGAAAATTTTAAGTTTAATTTTATTTAAATATCTATTTTTTAATACTTTCTTCCTGTCTCTGCCTCTTACAATCATTTCTCATCCTCATCTTCTTTAATACAATTTTTAAAAAATTTTTAAACATATTATTAATAGCACAATATAAAATTAAATTTAAAGAATTTTAATGATTAAATATTTTAAAAACGACTATTTTTAATGAATTCCGAATTTAAAAAAAAAAAAAATTTAAGTGGTGATAAAAATCGCTCGATATTCGCAGCTCTTATATAGGAATTAAAAATAGTAAATATCTTTAAAATTAAATTATCGACTTATAGAAATATCTATGTGAATATTTAAAATGTTAATCAAATTTTAATTTAATATATAGAGGCCTATATATATAATTTATTATTTATTAAATCGAGTAATTGTTTTTTTTTCATACATTTTTGTATTTTAATCAGATTCTCTACACCATTTCTTCATGATTTAATTTAATAAATTTTAATTTTAAAAATTATTTATGGGTCTAATTGCAATTAATAGTTTAAGTTGATTTTTTTTAATATATATAATTAAAATTTTTAAAATTTCAATAAGCGATTATCGTTAAAATGCGCGTAAAATTTTCCTCGTGTCATAAAAGTTTTTAACGGTATTAAAACATCCGAAATGATTAAAGAAAATTAATATTCAATGTCCGTACTTTATCGCAATCTTGACGATCATCAACCATCTGTTGTTCCTTGGTAGAGAACACCTAACGTCTACCTGTCAACTGGGAAGAAAGACAGTCAGGGTTTACAGCTGACATCAGACAAGAAGAAAGAGAAAAAACTTTAACCCAACGTGGGTGGCAACGGCAAGACAAGTACTGTTATCATTGTCACTGATGAATGGATGACGTGGAGACAGAAATAGGGTCTACACCACACACACATCCAGCCAGACCGGCCTAACACCGATTTCCATTTACGAAAGAAAAAAAAAAAGGAAAAAAAAAAGCCATAGACACAACATTCATAGGGTTATGTAGTTGTGTGAAGAGCATTGGAAAATGATGGTAAGAAATATTTTCGGTTGTCATTGGACATTGATGTGATGCGGTGATCCGCCCTACCGAACGCCAATATTCTAAGTATGCGGTACACGTTTTGCAATTCATTAAAGTCGTGGTTTGGCATTTGGCTTGGCCGATTAAGTCTCCATTGTTCGCATGGGGATGGTGAGATATTACAGCTTCCCGTCTGACATAGTGGAACTGGCTGATTTGAATGCCGCCGACTGTGCGCCTCTATCTATCATGGCTGGATAGCCAGCTGGATGGACATGTCCCACATGGATGACATTGACTCGACCCTATCGACAACCGTTGTCATCTGACAGGTATTAATGGAACTGATTACATTCACCCAGGGGTGGAAACCATTTTTTTTTACCCTCTCTTTGAAGAGGATCCACCTGCATTTATTTTATTCTTTTATCTTAGAGAATGATCGGATTGATTTCGAATTTGAAATGGTCTTAATCGAAGCTTTATAAAATATATTTTGAAACCTCAAACTCTGTTAAAATATGGACGAGTTTAAATGTTAATCTTATCAATAATTATAATTATAGGGTGGAAACTGTAAAGTTAAAAGCTTAGTTAACATCTATGTTGGAGACAGATTTAAATTATATAATTTTTTTTCTTCCTGAATAGATGAAAGAACTTCATACATTTTCATTATTTCGTATGCTTTAATTGTATATTACTTAAATAAATACAGTTTGAAACTGTAAAAGTCGGGTCGATATCTAATTTTTAACCTCACTTATATATNTTCAAAAATCTTAAAAACAAGCAAAGAAAATAGTTCAAAATGTAAAAAAAAAATAAAAAATATAATTTTTCAGATGGAGTCTACTATCAAAAAATGATTCTTTACGACGATACTCGCAATATTTGCCACACAACAAAAGTGTGAACGGATGAGAAAAATTCAGAAGTTTAAACCATCAAAAACGAGCTAACAAGTCTATTGTGTTTACTAGAAACGAAACACCAAGTGACTAGAATAAGGATTGTGACAGGTCAGTAAAGTAGACGGACCAAGTGGGATACTGCTTTATGTACAAGGTAGGAGAACTATAACTGTTGTCGGAGCAATTCGTATTCACTTAGCAAAAGGAATACCGTCTTAACATGGCCGTCACGCAGACTACTGACCGTATCTCGACGTCGTACGAAACACTAGCTACATTACGACATCCAGTACATTTTGTCACATCACCGAATCTTCGACTCCACACAGAGATCCGCTTTAAGATGTAAGTAGAAATACTCCTCCGCAATTGTCCGAATGTGTAATGGCTCTTGTATATATCCTTTGGTATTTCTAAAGTGTATAGTATATTCTGTTAAATAAAAAAAGAAGAAGAAGAAGTTGGTCGAAGAAGATTTTTATTTTCTCGACGAAATAAATTGATTGAAGAGGAGAGAAAAAAAGATTTTTTTTTTCCTTTTTTTTTTCGAGAATGTACTGAATTTTAATTCACCAATTTCCTTATCGAAGCGGACGAAAGTTGTCAAAGATACATTACCGTCAAATTGGTAGTTATATAAATTTATAAAAATGTAAAGATGATCTGTGGTTTGAAATTCTAAGCTGTGTTGCCGGATGACGATAAGAAGTTTTTGGCATATAGGATGGTAAATTAATCGCTGTTTTGTGTTCTTGTAATGTATATCGTTAACAGACGAAGATAAGAGTATAGATTATAAGTATTGAAGTGGTTATTTAAATGAAGATTATGGCATAAAATTCTGTAAAAATAAATTAGTTTATAATTTAAAAAGTTCTTAGTTATATGGTAGTTGTTAGAAGATAACGTTCTAAGTTGATCGATATAGTTTTTAACTGTTTTTAGTTAATCCCTTTTAGCTTAGAATTAAGATACTTTAAATAGATTAACTTAGATTTTCCTTTAGATGAAAGTATAAAAATTTGTAATTTATACGTTCAAAAATGTTTCTTAAGTGGAGGGAATATAATAATAATCAATAGATTTTTAAGGTATATTTTCGATATGTTTAAGATTGTTATTGGTCTATAAAGATTTAAGATTAGAAATTTGAAAAAAAAATCTACATAAAATTGGTAAGTTTTAATGGTATTTTTGTTCGAGGATGCGTAAATTTAAGTTCTTTTCCATAAAAAAAATAATATGCATTTTAGAATTATGCACCGCGTTTTTTGAATGAAAACGATTAGGGCATGGGTTAATCCGCCAGAAGAGCAGTTTAATCTTCCGTTTTCTGAAAAATTAATCTTCGTTATTAACTTCTCACCATGTGTTATTGGTTTGAAGATTTTGTTAGTTGACGTTGCAGCATTATTTTAACTACAATTTCGGAATTCTTAGTATCCTTAAATGAAGATAAAGATGCGTAAAGAATGAAGTAATTGCTGTTTTGCTTGTTAACCGGAGTTGCTTGACATAGAATTACTTTTTAAGATAAGTTGTTCTATGAGAAATTCGGAAAATACAGTTTAAGTTAGTAAGTCTGATCTAAAATTCAGATTTTTTTAAAGAACATATTAGTGATTAGTTAAATGAGAATTCTGTAGACTATACCAATATTTGAAATAGCTGATGATATATTTAGCACCAGAAGAACTATGAATAATTAGAAAATTCTTGTGGTACCGTACGTATTATGGAGTCGGTATAGACGAGGCAGCAACTGGTTCCTAATCCTAATTATCTACAGACTTTTTCTCTATGGAATTCCTATTTTCTATCCCGGTCAAAATGTTAAGTACCAAAAATAGAAAGTTTATTTGTTCATCAGTGTCCCTGTATCTTAGAATTCCAAACCATTCATAGCGTGTTGTTTCGTGCATTGTTTGGGAATGAACAAAAACAAGAATGCTTCTATTTACCTTTCGGTGGTATGTTCCTAATGGCCCTGCTTTTCTAGCTGTTGTATGTGCGAGGTTTCAGTAATTTGTTTCACTACAATCTTCAGCTCACAAGTTTGACGTTCTAATTTGGTGCAAGAGAAGAGCAAACAAAATTCTTTTCTTGGAACATCCACAAATGTGAAGATTCCTGTGGTGAGAATTAACTTTCTAACGAACCATTATTAATAAAGGGATACAGTTTTTAAGTTGAAAACTTGGTCAAATAGTCTCACATATTTTCGTCTTCACAAAACAAATTTGCCTTCTTTAAACTAAGCAAAAGGCTTACAAAATGATATCGAACTTAAGAACGGAGTAATTTCAAACATTTAGCCAATTCCTAATTGCACTTAACACAAGTACAGTTTAACCTAATGTTCTCGCTCGGATAACTATTAACTTGAATTTTTTCTTTCCTATTTCTCCCCCGCACAAAATTCTGTAAAATTTAAATGGTTATAGAGTTTAAATTTCTCTTCTTCTCCGTTTAATATTTGGAATTTTTAAGATTCTTTACTTATATATATTTTTTTCTTTCATTTAGATATTCTTTTGATTACGATCCTAATCGAGTTGGCAACACTTGCAATTATCCGCGATCCAAATTTAATTTACGATCCGTATCCGAGGCGGCATTAAAGAATTAATGAGAAAAATTGCAACATTTCGAATTTTTGTTCCTCTTCCTAATGTTACTTACTTAAATTGTTTGCGTTAAAATAAGTAGTTTAGGCTTAATTTACCGATTAAAATAAACAATACAATCTTTACAGTCCGGCTACATTACTAGAATACGACTAGAGGATAAGGTTTATTTATATTTGTAAGGTGATTAAGTTGTTTATGTGTTGTTTTTTTAAGTTTAGAGATGCTAGAATGGTAGAAGTTAAGGAAAAATCGCGTTTAGAAATATGCTACAACAATCTGTCGGCAAAGGAAGACGAAGTTGCCAATGGGTGGGAGTTAAATGAAAAGTGGCTGCTTCGTTTTAAACTTTGCCGCCAGATGCCTGTAGCTATGATATGTCTCGGTTACCTCATGTGTCCAGGGAATGATCGTAGCCGGTCGATGAGACAAGGGAATTGTGGTTAGCCGAAGTCTTCTGCGGTCCACCACGATCGATCACATGGCATGCGGCGAGGGGACCCTCGACAGACGACACTTCATCGATGACGTGTTAGAGCCGGACGCGTAGCATGCTGGGACTAGAGAAACACGATCTCTTCACCTATGGGTTCCCCCATGGTGGCAATACTAGAGGTCCCGCTGTATTTGTTCTCATGGCGACCATTCACAGTCGACCCACCTCTTTTCTACATGTCTGGAGTGTGGGGAAAAAATTATCATGAATAGATGGCTGGCAGCAACCTGATCCTAAGCGAGTTCTCGGCAACCCGGGCCTGTAACCCAATCTGTGGCCTTTTCCTCTGGCCCCGACTCTTGGACTGTGAACGCATGCACTCTAGCCGTAAATCTCAGATGTGATAAGACGTTTGTGCTGTCAATATAGGATCCCCTGCTCTTTTGTGTTGTCCTGCTTGCACGTGCAGTTTTCCACAGGCTGCCCCCGGTACGGGGGGAGTGACGGGACTGTGAAAAACTGCCTCAGACATTGTCCCGGGTCACATGATGCACCGGCAGAGCGGGCAAGCGAAAAATGGAAGTTGTGATTTCATTCATCTAAGTCTACATGTGGTCTGAGCACCTTTCTGATGGAAATTTGTTGGTTTTACTTTTTGATAGTATCCCGTACATCTACAAATAGTGCTGCTTTTTTCTTCCCCCAAAACCCAGTTCTGTCCATTGTAACCGAACAGAATACCTTAGAATTCAATAGAAAACCTACAACCCAAGTACTTATTTTTAGTCAAATTTGTTATCATTTCGACAGTCGAACCTATTAATTTAGACTCTTTTTTTACTAACCATTCATTGAACTTTTGAAAATCCTCAAGCAGACCCAACACAGCTAAAACTTTTTAAAGTTACATCTCTATTTTTCCTCCAAGAGAAGAACTAATCCCAGACAAATATTACTATATAGAGATATAAGAGAGAGAAATAACTCCGATATATATGAAGTAAAGTTAATATTGGTTCACACAATAACCTCCTAATTGAACTCGGCTCTGAAGTGCATAGAATTAAATCGATTCTCTGTCAAACATATTCTGTAAAATTGAATTCCCCACCAAATATATTTCTGTAGAAATGATTGTACGATAACATCCAATCTGTTTGTAAAATTTCAATCCAAACATGAAATCCTGTTCGCAATGAGGAGAAACGATGTTCAAATAAATTTTCAAAAGCCCTTATATTTATATTAAAGCCAAGTTGAATTGAACTACTCTTATACAGAATCCAAGTTAGGTTATTGACTGAAGATAGCTTGTATCTTCTAAACTTTTATAAGGTTACAAATTAAATCAACCTTATAAAAGATACCCGTTTTTAGAAGGATATTTTATATCCTACTAAAGACACGAATTTCTTCGGCTCTTAAAACTTTATTAAATTACCAAAAAGAAATGATCTTTGTCAACATTTTTAATTCATATTCGTTTCTTTTACCTCAACGTTTTTTACGTTTATATTCATTTCTATCGTGTGAACGTTCTAAATTTATATTCACCCCCTATAATCTCAACGTATTCAAATTCATATTCACCTATATCATTTCACTTTTTAAGTTTATATTCAACTTTTATATTCACTTCAAAGTGAGTAGTTGGCAATTCAGTTTGAAGCGAATATAAAGTTGAAAACGTTTGATGGTGTTGGGAAAAGAAACGTGTTAACTGAAAGAATACAAAAATCTAACTTAAAGAAAGAATCTAATACATATTAAGGACCTTTATTATTATTTTTTTCCTATTCAAATATTTGTAAAATATATATATATATATATATATGTAACGCATTAAATAATATACTTTTTTTTTTTACTTGTACAACACATTTAAATTTGCTAAACAAATGTATTTTCTGTCTTATTTATTATTATTATTTTTTTTTTAACTAGACAAATAGAGAGATACAAATTCGATTCCTGTTTTTCAGTAAAGAAAGAAAATGAATGAATAAATAAAAAACAAAGCAAGCAAAGTAAAGGTTATCGTCAAACATTTTCGTATAAGTTTAAAGATATTATATTGCTTTATATTATACCAAGGTGTTTTTCCTAATCAATTTTTCAGCTTGGTCACCCAGTGGAACGAAGAATAAGAAAGTGTAAAAAAACAGTCGACATTTTTTCCATCCTCTTGACGTTGTTTTGTTATGCGTATGAATGCGAAATACGATGACAAGTTTTTAAACGCTGCAACTGTTTAGTTTTCCTTTATTGTCCCTCGGCGTACTTGCTTGTTTACTTTGCTTAAGTCTAAAGACTTTCTTTTTTTTCTTCTCCCTCATCTTTTTTTTCTGCATTACCTTAAGAAACCGTATTCATTTTTTCCCCTTAGCAGCACTGTAAATGAATCTGTTGATGTTTACTTGACTATGACAGATTTATTCACGATGAGTAGCGTCGAAATAGAAGTTTTCAATCATAAAAAACTACGAATGTATTTATAAATATTGTATAAAATTATGCAATTAAAGCTTTAAACTTATGCACGTTTGCAATAATTAGATGTACTATACAGTAATCGTTATAAAATCAATGCATATGCTATACAGATATCTTATAATGGCTCTTATTCGAATACTTCATAACTATCTCGCATTTATTAATATCAGCTCTTAGCTTTATTCAGATATTATAATCTAAGTTGCAAATACATTCATTAATTCATATCATGCTATATAACTTTATACAAACGTTATTACAGATCTATGCGGTATCATTATCGTCGCTAGAAACTCATAAACGGTGTGCAGGCAAAATTTATATATGCTGCACATATGCAAATATAATTATTCAGATTATTATATTTGCACATCACACATACGCACGAATGTTAGGGCTTATATTTTATGCCATTAATACAGATTCAAACTCTAAGAGATTGTAAATCTGTTCGAAGATAATATATTTATATTGCTATCAGCTCATAAAAGAATGTTTTAGCCTAATTTCCTCGTAATTATAATTAAAAACTAACATAGATTCTTTGTTATTATACTAAGATGATTCGTATGCTATCCTATGCTATCCTATGTAATATTATCAATAATACCAGGTCATGTGTAGTTAGTTGTATAGCTTCATGAGTTTATATTAATAATTGCTGTAAACACATCTGCCCATGCAAATGATGTATAGTTTAAATCTATAACATATAATCATTACTATAAATTCATATGAGGATGCTACATGCTATGCTTACATGCAGAATCTGCAATATTTGCCATCAAATTTTATATCTGATATATTCCGTAACATACCTTGTATATCCATTGTTATTGCATTATTCAGAAACTATATATATTAGTTAATCAAGACAATAAGTTCATAAGCGTGTACAAAGGCTCTTTTGTTGCATTTCGGAGTAAGTTATATAGTAATCACTGTTTTGCCATTACATATCATATACTGTATATTTCATTTGTAATAAGAGAGGCAACAGTAATTTGATTCTTATCACATCCCGAGGCAAGAGTTTAAGGATAAATTCACTATCATTAGGAGGACCAACACTACAGTAAAGTCTAAGCTGCACGATCATTCGGTAGGCTTCTCTCTTTTGTTAAAATATGTATCGATCTTATTATAAAATCGGGCCATTCTAGGTCAAACGGCTCGAATGTATATACTGTTAAGATTTGAATAATTTATGAACTAAAATAACGGATGGAAATAGTTGCTTGTAAAATTAAAATCGCTAAATTAATATGGATTTTCTTAGCGTCGTAATCTAGATTATTTAACAGAAAAGTCGGATTAAGTGTAATATTTGTTTGGCGTTAATCATCGGACTTACGGTTTTCGAACTTAAGTATCGATAATTGAATTGTCAGTGAAACAAGTACATAAACCATAATAGAAAAGTAGATAGATCTGTAAAGCTTACAGGAACAGCAATCCACTTTTGACAGAACAACAGATGCAATCAGGGTTTCTCTTTCTCTCTTCCCCCTATTCCAGATCTTCTTACATCCAGGTGTCTATGCATCTGCCATTGATAATGCACAGTTAAAATTCAATGCAGCACATAGGGAGGTAGTTGGATCAGATCCACCAGCACTCGCAAAGTTAGTTTGATATTCTGGATACATATCATTTGGGATTTTCATATCTAGACAGTTTTATTATGTCATGAATTAAGTTGACGTTTATTACCTTATAAAACTGAGTAAGAAATTTTGGAAAATACTTACCTTTAATTTAAAAAAAAATATTTTCACTCGAGTATACTTCAGAGTTTACTGTAAAACCTTTCAACATATTCTACTAGGCGGTGTGAATTGGTTACTTCTTCAGATACCGCTACTACACGGACTCCACCATTTTGCATAAGAGCGAGAAAGAGGAAGAAGAAAGAAAGAAGACAGCGATATATTTATCGATTTGGATGTTGATAACTTTTAAATTTGTTAATAATTTCTTAGTTTTAACCGATGTAATTTCATCTGTCTGTACGTGGATGCATTTTTATTATTTTCTCTTAAGATCTCGTTTTCACTTTTTGAATTCCGAATAATTTATCATACCGTCCGTTCTGAAATGTTGTCAAAATGAACAAAGTGTCCGATATTAATTATATGCCTTTAACTGTCAGAGTCATTTAACATCTCTTTGGGAGGTCTTATTATATTCTTTCTCTCTTGTATCTGGTACTTTAAAAGTCACTAGTTCGCGATACGCATAACAATCAACATTTTAACGTCAGCTATAAGGTGGAGGATAACGTCTACGCCCACCTCTACTCTATCTATCGTTTTAAATTGATAGCGTAAATCGATAACTCAAAAATGACCATCTAAGCTATCAAATTAAGTCTATTTAATGTCTTGTTTATTTTTATAAGTCCGAGATTTTTTTTTTAAATAGCGGTCAAGTTGTTTGTGGTGTTTAAAATCATATATAAAAAAAGTAAAGCATAACTCGCACTCTTCCTAAATGCGTTAGCCTTTACTTTGCTGCAGATACGAGTTCATCTTTCAGTCTTCAGACATTTTAATTAATCACAGGTTATGTTCGTATAAACACCTCAACATTCACACACACACATATACACACACCACGTGACAAGGTGTCAGCTGTGATTGGTTGGTCGGGGTAGAAGATTTCCACGTCCACAGTTCCACATCGCCCCGCTTCTAGCACATCGACAACTGTAATAACTTGCAAATCAGGGGTGCCACTCATGCATACAGAGACGCATATTAATAATCCCTGCAGTTCTGCTCCTCGCCCTAATCTTGTTCATATAGGCTGCTGCAGGTGTAAAGGTTCGGACATTGAAAAACTATTCTTCGTTCGCTTGTTCGACTTATTCTCTTAGGGTGAAAGTTTTCGGTTGTTGCTGAATATTTGCCCGTTTTAAATGACTAGAAGGTGTTCTGCATAAAGTAATCCTGTATCTAACGTGTTATAAATGGTTTGAAGGTGAACAACCCATACTGTTAAACAGCTTAAAGTTTTTAATATATCTTTTACGCCAGTCGGGCTTCGTTGCTAATGCTCTAGTGGAGATTTTTCCCTAATTGCGCCGCTGCTAGATATAACATCCACTCCCCACTATTAATTTGGACTCCGCCAGAGAAGTCACTGTTAGGTGGTTGCGTCATATTACCAGGCGGATCTTACCGATTATTAGAGAGAGATGAATCATGACCGTCTCCCGATAAATCATCTACTTATCAGGCCTGGAAGTGGAACCAGAACAGCGATAGAGAGCAGTAGAGTCGAGAGCACCTAACAGTCAGATAGATCCTTAGTCCTGTGATCATTTCGGTGGATGAACAATTACCCTGATACACAAGTGTCGTTGGCGATACAGGAAATGTTCGACAGAACAAAAGGATGACTCCAGATTATTTACCAAGGATGTTTAGTGTTGGCTATATCATTTAGGAAAGGAGTGGCTTCTTCTCCTCGCTCTTAACGTCCTTAAAAACGAACTGTTTGCAGATCTATCTTATTTAAAACTTAATCAAACATTAAAAAATCGGTATAATAAAAATATACTTTTAACGTATTAATAATTTCGAAAACATCTTTTAGAAATAAAAAGAAGTAAACTAGAAATTCGAGACGATAATTAAATAGCTTAAAATATGCCTGAAGTTATTAAAAAAGGTTAAAAACTTAAAGGTTAGAAACAATTTTTGACTCTTATTGGTACGATGCCTATAGGCAATAGGAAATTATGGTCGACAGTTAGTTGGATGATCCATAAGGTTACTTTTCTGCCGAAAGTCATGTTTTATTTTTAATCTCGAGACGAAGATACGCTGTTCTAATAATTTATATACATTATATGACATATATAGAAAGAGAGTATATATAGGGCAGAGGTTTCATTGGCCTGTGAAAAATATTTTCTTCGACTTGTAGGACAGAACGAGTAACACATAGCCAAGGGGCATCACTCGTTTCCGCACATGCATGTGCGAAAATGTTTATGTGATCGTCACAATTAGGTCATATATAATTATATTAGATACGAATCAAAGTTTGCATCTTAAGGACAATGACTTTGCCTTCTTTTAAAAATCACCTGTCTCTACTTAAAAGCATCTTTTCTTCTTTATTCTTTCGACGTTTTTCTAAACCATTTTTATTGAGAACAATCACCTTAATATATTTCATATAGGAGTCCTAATCATGTATATCCCCCACATATCTGTAGACGTTGGAGTAAATCAGAATTATTTATAGCCATCCAGATTTCCCCTGGTGTACCACTCCGCCCGCATACACGAACTAACGTTGTGCAAAATGCGAATTCCGTTTCAACCTCCTCCCTTCTGTAATATTGAATACCGCATCCGTCATTGTCGTTTGTCAGTGCACTGAAATATTTTAATTCTTCCACCAAGTGAATTCTTCATCACATAAATTCCAGAACACCATTTTTTTCCATCCCCCATCCTATCAGTGAATTGCTGTTAACCGAAGGAGGAAAGCCACCAAAAAAAAAAAAAAACCAAAAAAATTGTTTGTTATAAAGATTTATATATATCTAAATCTATAGCTGCTATAATACTATATTGTATTGTTCTCCACATTTTAATAAACTGTTAAATTGTTTTAAGAATAATAATTTTCTGCACCTTATCGAACACGCTCGGAGAGAAGATAACAATTTTAAAATAACATTTTTCGATTTACAGTTTATCAGGGGAGTATATGGTTGCTGTCGAAATGCAAATCACTTTTCCAATCACAGTCTGTACTTGACTGCAGCAATTCTATACTTGAAGTATTGGCGATATTGCTCCGGTATGTCATTGGCAGACACACATATAGATGATATAAGAGATGAGTATTTGAAGCGAATTTGGGAACAGCACTCCTTCCTTGAAATATCAGCCTCATAAAACTGACTAGAATATGTTATAAACTGTCAAGTTGTAATGGAATTATTTTATAAACGCATCCTCGGCCTAGATTTTTTTTATTATTATTATTTCCTAGCCACCGAAACCAAGAAGAATCTCATTGGTATGCGGATTACGTCTCCAGTTAGTAATTTGGGGATCGAACGAAAATCGAGAGAATAAAAAAAAAGAAGGAAAAAAAAAATAAAGAAATGCAATCTTTAACCTTCTCTACTTAACCTCTATTATTCGGTTCGTGATGATAGGAGATTGGTTAATAGAAAAACATTTCAGGACTACAAATATAGAATCTGCTAATCTGTGAAAATAGATACCTGATTTTTTTTTTTTTTTGGTCTGTATAAGCTGCAATTTTTTTTATTAGGAATGTGAATATTTTTCAAGCTAGTCTGGAGATTAAAAGAGAATCATGTAAGACAAGAAGCAATTACTCTTTCACTTAACCTTTGTCATTAGGTTCATGGTTAGGCTGATTAACAGAAGACTATTTAGAATCTACAGCATAAATCTAGAAACTATTGACCTACAGAACTATAATGTTTATATATGTTTTTTTAAACTTAGTACATTCATTTTTTACGTTAATATCTCGAAATAGGATAGAGGACAGGTTCAAAAAAATGTCAAAAAGTAGAATAATTATTTTAAATCATTTCTTTTGTTTTACTTTTTGATTTATGTAAAGATTGATCCTGCAAAACATAATACCTATTAATAGCAATATATATGATTTATCTGCGTATTATATAATATTTAAATTGCATCTAGTTCCTGTAGAAGGAATTAAAACCTCTTAAATAAAACAATTTAAATCTTGTATCTTGATCCTCAAGAAGTATACACAATGTATAATGAATTCATACTCTTTTCTTTACAGGGTTAAGAAATATTACTTGTATATAATTACATTTAAGAGAAAAATGAAAATAATAATTATATTTTAATCATTTTAAAATTTATTTAATTATTACTTATCAAAGATTAGATAAAAAACAATTTTGTTTGCATGTAAGAGAAGCTGATCTAAACATTTTTATTCCTGTAGATGCTACCATTTTTGTTTGATATGAGACTATCTTTGGGAATAAAAAAAAATGCGAGTGAAAAAATTTAATCTCCTCACTTAACCTCTCTTACAAAATTCTTGTTTATCGAAGATTGGTTAAAATAAAAAGTTCAGAGACTACAAACATATATTCGTAGCGTAGAAGATATTGCCTATAGTAACAGAGAAAGGGAGAGCCTATTCGCGTGTGTAAACTTATACTCTCTTCCATTACGAATTCCTTCGTGACAGGAGGTTGGGTCAAATGTGAAAAAGGTCACGTTTTTTTCTGAAGTTGAAAAGGAAGTCGTACACAACAGCGAATAAAAGCCTACATTTATGTAGTGGATAGCGATGAAATTCCTAAATTGAATTATAAATCTATTCTTAAACTAATTTCCCTGCCAAAATCATATTTTTATAGCACTATATTTTATTTTTTGTTATTTTATTTTTAGAAGAAAAGGACCTGTATGATATTACTAGCTATCGATATTCACTGCATCGACCCACACAGGAGAGAAAAAAAAAGAATAATAATAATAATCAAGGATCGCTTTCGCAAGTGAACTCAAAACTGCAGAACGTGACATCTACCACTTTAGAACGAAACTTCTGTCTAGATAGAATCTCGATAAAAACTGACATCCCTAACTAGAATCCTGTTTTGTCCGTAGAGAGGATCTTATTACAAGACTGGCGTATGACGTAGCCAAAAACCATTTTTATTGTAACGTGCTTAGAATGTCAAGTAGGAATTAGATACAGAGTGAATTTGAGTGAACACACTATGCTGAATAAAAATTGTGGAATATATTTAGTATCTGATTTAATCTCCTATCCGAAACAGAAAGGGGGGAAGGAGATCCGAAGCATCTAAGATGAGATCTATACAATTAATTAAAACTACTACCATTATTATTATTATTATTATATTAGCGCATTCCTGAATGTAGAAACCATTAGGAGAACAAATGGCTGATTGATAGTGAGATCCTTTTGACATTTAAACGTACCATATTTCACGGTCCGTTGTTGTTTGTACCATTCCTTTTAGTGGCGGGGACCTGTGATATACGTGCACGAACCCACTTTGGTGCGTGTTGGTATGTTAGTTCTTGCAACCCTTTGACATTTTAGCTTAGTGTATATGTAACAGTGATGAAGGATGGGGTACAGGATAGTATCCAGTTCGTCTATTTGATGAAATCTTAATGGTGAAATGTAAGCACGGAGTAGTTCCACGTCTGGATTGATCGTTTGTTTAAGATGGAGTAAATAAACATGTCAAGTCTTACTAAATTATTGTAGTGACTTATTTTATAAATTCTGATAAGGAAATAATGAGGAGAGAATATTATTTATATATATCCAATTTTCTTTTCCTTTTTTTTTTAATTTTTTCTCTCTTCCTTATGTTAAGATTTCTTTGTCTAACTTGGCAGATGTTTAGAAATAAGAGTAAAGAATAAAGATTGGGAGAGTGTCCATACATTTTCATGTAGTTCCTCGTACAAAAGATCTAGTTTGTATTTTTTTCCCTTATCCTTTCCGCCTGTCTGAAGGATTTGAATGGGATTGTTCATGAATAACCTAACAATTATTATATACAGTAGTCCAATTTCGACCTCGACTAGTTGCTAAAAAGAAAAAACCCAAAATCCTGTCTTAGAAAATTTAGATAGGATACATTGTGATAAATATATTATTATATTAAAAAATAATTTTTTTCTTGAAGTTCCTAGACATGTGATAAGCAACAAACGATCAAAGTGAAAATTATGAATCGGATAAGGAAGTTGCGTTAGATCGAGATAAGAGGAAGAAATTTCATTACAAACAATCTAATAAGAAGAGAATAATTTGGCCTCGGGAAAGTATCATGAAGTTTTGACGAGGCAGGTGTTTTAGTTACATTCTATACACGAAAATAAGCACAATTTTAACCCGGATAGAATAAAAAGCATGTTTATTCTGTTTTAAAAAAATCGCCGTTATAAAAATGGTAATATTTTATAAAGCAAAATGCTGCACTGTTCTGTAACTGGGTGCAGATTCACGATTAGGATAATTTATTAGAGTATCGATTGGCTTGAGACGAGGGCGGCTCTTCCCTCCTTCAAACTTTGAAAGGTTAGGTTTAAAAAAAGGGAGAAAAAATTCATTTTTGCTTTTTAATTTCTGCGCTGAACTGATTGGGTAACGAGCATCCAAACGTGAATCGAGGTTTGTTTTATTAAAAACGAACACGTGACTGCATTGTAAAGTCCCAGGCGATTTCGAGAAGTAATTTGGTAGAAGTGATATTACAGTAGGTTGTAGTGCATGTTCAACAAGCGACTCAACAACAGATAGTGCGAAAATGGGGAGTGTTTAAATGGAAAGTCTGAGGTTGCGTGGTGTGAAGTGTTTTGCTTGTGGATTTACCGCTATGAATACGTACATGTTGACGCAACAGCTAGCTACAAGTATCGAGACGTATTATTCGCTAGAATCAATGGTAGGGAGGCAGTGTCTACGCCAGAGGCAACATTGCTATGTAAAAGTCACCAGTATCGAGATGTGCACCCTTCAGATTACTGGGTTTTGTTGAAAAGGGAAAGCTGTCAGTAGATGGGTGGACTTTTATGAATAGCCTTTATAGGGAGCTGCTTTATTGGTACGCTGTTTATGGTCTGTATATGAAGCCAAATGGGAACTAAGCCTCGATGAAAGCGGGGGTGGAAGCTAAAGCTCGTTCGAGATGAATTCAAAAGGGGGGAGACTCTTATTCATAGAGAGCTTGCAAACATCTCCCAACCCTCAAGGGCTAGACTATAGACATGACAAGAATGAAACCTCTGGGCAGTTTAGCGCGCTTATGGTTGCATAGATTACTGAGAAAATCAACCTAACACTTATACTAAACACGCGAATACAGAAATTCGTCGTAAAGTCAAACCAGATTCTATAGGACAGTGCCCAGTTTACCTAACCAAGATATCGCCGACGCTTAGCAGATAACTGGTCCAGTTTTCAAACATGCAAGATAGGAATTTCAAAGGAGATAGAATATCTCTCCTCATGAATTTCAAGTTGAATCGTAAAGTGTAGCTAGAGCTAGTTTGCGTGCAATAGTACTAATGAATAGAAGTAGAAATCTTTATTGATACGCATTAAATGCCGTAATGTTACTCGGAGTTAAACTTTGAAAACCAGAAAGTAGCTTCCCGGGGCGATCTTCTATATTTTTAGTTTTTAACTTATGAAAATATCGAGAATATTTAAAAATATACAAGAAGCACTTAAATCTATAACACCAGGTCTTACGATAAAGCTTACAATACAGTCTAAGAGCTATGCATTTTATCTTTCGTTCAATTTAATAATATATTATACTCCTGAAAGGTATCTAACATCTATCTTAGGTTCTATATTAATATTTAAAGAGCGAATAATGCAACATAAATCTATCGAGTTAACAATTCTCTTTAAAAAACCCCTTCTAATAAGAACAATATAAAAATTTCTAAAGATAAAAGTATACTCGAAATTCTCATCTGGGTCGCACCTAGTCATTTTCTAAACACAATAGAAGACAAATAAAAAATAAGAAAAAAAATTCCACTCGGTTTTAACATGGTTGAAGCAATCAATTTTTGTACAGAGCATTCAATTTATGTGATGACTGTAATAAATTTTTCTAACGTTGTAAAATTCCAACCTCACTTAGACCTCGATTAAGTCATAACCAATTCAAAGCGAGGAAGTGGTATAAAGCTAAAGTCCTGTTTTATACCGTATCACAAGTTCTGAATCGCTAAAGTATAAACCTGCAATGTGTATGCGCTGCTTATTAACTGTGTGTATGTCTTTTCGTGTGCAGATGGCCATTTTAAAGCAAAGAAAAACTTCATTAGGATAATGTAAAGACCGCTAACCCGGGTAAGGAGAGGAAGTAACAAGAGACATGAAATAAAACAGGACTCATATTTGTTGGCATCTAACAGAGTTACGACACCTAAGACGTTCTTTCGTCGACTTTTTAACAGCCGTAAAAACACTAATGATTACGTACTTGGTCTACCCTAAAAGTGGGGAGGTTCACCCCATTTATAAACGTTAACTAAATGGAATAATCAATCCACGTTCGTTATTAAAAAATAAAAAAAAATATATGATTTCATCTAATTATAAGACATAATCTCAGCTGGGTTTTTATTTATTTATTTATTATTAAAACTCTAGATTAATTATTTATGTCAGCTATAAATTATTTTAATTATAATCATCTCGACAGAAATTCTTATCAGATGGTTTCAGTTTATAAATATATATATATATATATACTGTATATACACATACACGTAGACTAAATAATAATTTTTCAATCACAAAAATGAAAATTATCCCTAATAATGATTTTATTATACAGAAATTTATCTATAATATGTATGTATTAAATCGAGTATTTATGATATTAACTTTTTTTTTTGCATGCTAAAGGTCGCGTTACCCATCTCGACATAAGGTTCTACGCTATTAAATTTATTATGTGAGATAAACCTTCTGATATCCAAAAAATAATATGGTTAACAACTTAGCCTGGGGAGGTATGAGATAATAAAAAAAAAAATTCCTAACCAGTTACGTCGAGAAATACGAAAAGTGAACTTTTTTTAGACGTGCCTACGTTGATGCAAATTAAATTCATCATCCATTATAGCGAGCAGTAAAGCAAAATTGCTGTTTATTTTAATTAACTAGCGTATTCACGAATTAGTTTAAGGTATAATAAAGAAATAAAATAAGCATTAATGTGTCTAATAATATTCGCAACTTTACATATTACTAAATTCGAACTTATCCAGTGTTGAAGAGTACGAGTCGTATAGGGTTTATATACAACGCCCATGGGCACTAGTTGGCGTGGCCATTCTGGATCAAGGGAAACATCAACTCCATTATCTGTAATTAATTCGAATTATTGTTATTTGGAATAATACGGATACATTTCACTAGTTTACCTGATTTGTAATAATACACGTTAACATGATTCATACGCTTATTAGTCTAAGATCAGATTGATATTACATGTATATTATCGTCTAATAAGTTATTGTTAAGTTGTTAAACTAAGCTATATAATATGTTATATTATTATTTTATGGGTTTAAATTTTAAAAAACTTTTCCGAAGCCAAATTTATATAGAATCTGAAGTGTTTTTTTCTTTATCTACAGTTCGAAGGTTTTCATATTTACGAGAGATTAGATTATAAGAATGGTTTAAGTAAATTGCAAAGTCCTCTTTCTAACGAACCAGACTAACGAAAAAAAAAATAAATACATACCGAACATTTTTTTTTTAAATTCTACATAGGCATACATATTTTTCTCGCTATTCTTTTGGCCTCTGCATGGTATAGGCCTTACTTAGCTACATGAAAGAAGAAAGAAAATATCTTATTAGCATAAAATATTTATAAAATAGAAAATTATAATAAATTATATTTACTATTTGATTAATTTTAATTTAAAATATATACATATATATTGCCTACATTTCTTTTCTTCTTTTTTTTTAATGTTATTATATAGGATATGTTGTATATGTTAGCCTGTTGTGTGTGTGCATTCAAGAAGAAGAACGAAATGTGTTGTCAATGATAAATATTAATAATAATTGTTATTATAAATATTAATAAGATAATTCTGCGAAAATTATAGGATGAGTTCTATCAATTTTCTCAGAAATAGCTTATTAATAATAACTATATAACCCACTTTTGCTGCATGATATATCAAAGGGGGAAGAGAGAATCTGGTTGAACATTTTAATTTAAGCTAAATTTTTTACATATATAAACATATTATAAATGACAAAATTGATTTAATTTTACTTAAAAATTATCATATTTTTATATTTTATAATCAGTTTTTACATTTATTTAATCATTTTTTTAGAAATTAGTTTAATTTAGAGACTGTCTAGACTTTAAGTGTGAATGTTTGCATCCTAAATGCCTGTAAATATATAAAGCGATTCGAAAACTTAATTTATATAAAATTTAAATGATCTTATACTATATAAATAATTTTAGATAAATATTTAAATAATTAATTATTAAAAAAAAAAAGAAAATGGTAGTCTTTGAATGAACAGGTGCTGTCATATTTAAATGTTCGTCAGAGCAGAACAAATAAATGTTTAATACTTTTACGCTAACATAATTATAGGGTGATATGTCTTCTATTTAATAATAACATAGTCAATCAATTTAGAATCTAATTAATGCTTTAGAAAGATACATTTTATAATTTTAGATTTGCTTGAAGATTATATTCTAGTAGAGTAAAATGTGGAAGATTTCATAGATTTCTGTAGACTTTTATTAATTTTTAAGAATATATGAATTAATTTAACAAAATTATTTAAGTTATTTTAACTTAATATGTATTGAAAAGAAGGTTAATAAATATTTATAAAACATATTAAAACAAAAATTGAATAGATAAATACATATTTCCCTCAAAAGAAATAAAAGTAAAAATATTTAAATTTATGAAAAGAGTGTGTGAGAGAGAGAGAGAGAGAGATTTTAAAAATATTTTGAATTTCAATCAGAATTACCTAGATATATGTATATATATATATATTTGTGAGAATTTTAGCAAAATTTTAATTATGTAACATTTTAAAATTTGAATATTTATTAAATTGTAGAATTTGTGAATTTGTCTAGCACATGTCCTATTTGTTGCCATCTGTTTCCCTGCAGTGAATTCTCTATAGACCTGGCGTCAAGTTATAAATTTGTTAAAGTTTAATGAAAATCCAAATGAAACATTCAATATTATCAAACCATTTAAGAGTTTTGCCCGAAGCATCATCACAGCCATTATAGCATAAACTTACGTTCTGTTTGTGACAACAGTTGCCCCAAAATATATTCTGTAATGCCTTTCTGACTTTTCATCTTTAATCGATTAATATAGTTTTCTTTCCGTAAACCTATCAGATAAATTAATCAAATTTAATTAATTTATTATTTTCTTAAAAATTATTTTTTTTAAGTTAAATGCTGTAGAGAGGTATTTACTAGATACCAATGAATTGGAAGAAAGAAAGATGATGATAACCGAGAGAAACGTCAAAAATCCCACAGAAGAGTGGTTACAAGTTTTAAATTTACATATCTCTTCTTCTTTCAGATCATATTAGATAGAATTCATGTTCCTAAAATGCAAAAATTGATCCTGAAATCGTTGAAGCAGAGTCTATAGAACAGCAATACGTTTGAGTTTTTTTTTTATCTAGTTTTTCTTTTATTATTCTTATAAGAGAGCTATTAATGAAATATATGCATATAAAGTAGATGTTAGCACGTATATACTTACAGCATATACAAATTCATTCAAATATGTACAGGTGATTTCTAAAATTATAAATAACACAGACACGAAAAAAAAGAGAAATATATTCTCAGAAAGATGTTGGCAGAAATTCGCATTTATTTCTTATAATATATATATATATATTTATATATTTGTTTTTTATCTCAAATATTTTGTGACAACAACTTGGATTGGAATGTCATATTGCTAGCTCTGTCTGTAGGAACACAATAAGAGAGGTCACATAATAAGAGCATCTTGTGCGATCTTTAAAATATAAGCAAGTTTATAATTTAAAGGTGTTGCTGATAGCAGTGAAGCAGACTGAGACAAATACAGAATTATGTACAACAAAAAATGAGATCATTTTCTTTTTTTAATTATGCTTGCGTTATTTAAGTGTTGTAAACACATTCTAAAAATTATAATAATAATTATTTTTTTTTTAAGAAAAAAAAGCATCGTTTTTCACATAGACACAGATTTGTAGTGTGCATCTTCAATATGGCCTACAATGATAGACAAATATAACATGATCACGCAACTTATACACTAGCCTTAAGAGAAAAAAGGCTCATATTTTTTAATATTTCTTTTTTTTTTTTTTAATACAGACACACCACAAAAATTTTTAAAATTTTTTGCTTTATATTTTGATGTTTATAACTGTAAAAATTTACACAAAAAAAAACACAAAAAGAAATATATTTATATATATTTATATATACTTTTTTTTTTCTTTTTTTGAAAAATTTCGAACTGACGAGCCGATAGCACAAAACGTAATAAACACAGCGATTTTTATCCAGTTAGCGAATTTTTATTATTTCGAAGAGTTTTCTTTTTTTTTTCTTTAATATTTTACACAGTGTGACCTTATTGCCTTATGGAACACAATAATATCTGATTGGGATATTTTTTTTTTTAAAGAGCAAAATTTTCTTTTCTTACAGGCAGGAATTCTGTCGATCGTTTCGGGTTGTCTTCTTGTATTCGAATTCTGCCAACGCTTGTATATTATATCTTGGGAAGGATAAAGTAGGTTGGAAAATGCTCTATACAAGTAGATAATGCATCGAATAAAAGGAATGACATTGACGACAAAATAATAAAAGTAAGGGACACACGCCAAAACATTTTACCTTTGGCGTTAGGGCGTCCTTTTCGAGGAAATTGGCTGCCATCTTCCCGTCTCGAAGATGGATTGTAAGGACAAGCGAGGGGCAGGGGAAGAGTACCAGCGAGAAAAAGAGGGTGGTCGAGGTTACAAAATGCACACTGATGACGTATACAGATGGCGTTTGGAATCGTTGTATGGACAGGTCCAAATTATGCTGGCCTGTGAACTACACGCGTATGTACAGGACATACATTGCCTCGGTTAGGCCTGCGGTTGGTGTACTTCTCGATCCGATCGCTTCTCGTGATCGATATATATATTTATATATATATATTTTTGTCTAAATTTTTGTTTTTTTGTATTTTTAGATCTTATCGATGATCACCGTTGCGATGATGATGATGATGATGACGACCAACCTTGTGGCCAGCAACAGTCAGGAATTAATGTCACCATTGATGGGTGCCTCCGCTGCCCATGGCACCTCGGAACAATGTGCTGGTCTCTGCTTCATATCAGACAGCACCGGAGTTACAGGAGGCAACAGGGGAACATAGAGGAACAACTGTCGCTCTCCAGTCCATGGCCCCATAGGGGGGCCAGCCAAAGGTCACTGCAGTGGCATGTATGGCCAGTTAAAAGAGCTGCCACTGAGCAGCATGTCCCTGATTAGAGTCTCAATAGGTGTCTTTCCTACAAGACGTACGAAGAACAATTGTTCGATGACTTGAGAACTAACAGTTCTTAAAGATGGTAGACGCAGTAATAATTTCCCGAATCTAGTCGGTTGATTTGGATACTGTGTCCGACAGTATTCTTCTAAAGCACACTGGGATTTTTCTTGTAAGCTCTCTATATGAGCCACGTCAGATAAGCCACACGCATCTGCAGAAAATAAAATCACATCGTTAGATCATCATTAAATCAAGTTTAATTCAACTGACTGGCCTTGTAATTCAATCAAATGGCAATTATTCACAACAGGATTTTTCAATCTATCGGGGACGTTAAGGGACTAGAGTAGGCTACCCTTTTTTTTTAATCAATAAAAAAAATAATACTAATACTACTACTACTAATAATAATAATAATAATTTGTGGTAATGTAAATCTGGGATAGTTACGTGTATATAAAATAGTTTCTAAAAATACGAAAATAAAATAGGAATTAAATATCTTATCTGTTGGTCAAAAATCAATTTGTGTCGATGAGGAACATTTGAAGCACATTAATGACGACGTGGAAGATTTATCATGTATGAATTCTTGAAAAACCCTGATTTACGTATTAAAATAAGTCATTTATTGATGGAAAAAATTATTATTAATCTTTTACGTTTACATTCACATTATTAAAAGATTAATTTTTGTAAAACTTAAATGTTTTAACATTAAAAAATATGTATATACTGTATATATATATATATTTGTGAGAATTTTAGCAAAATTTTAATTATGTAACATTTTAAAATTTGAATATTTATTAAATTGTAGAATTTGTGAATTTGTCTAGCACATGTCCTATTTGTTGCCATCTGTTTCCCTGCAGTGAATTCTCTATAGACCTGGCGTCAAGTTATAAATTTGTTAAAGTTTAATGAAAATCCAAATGAAACATTCAATATTATCAAACCATTTAAGAGTTTTGCCCGAAGCATCATCACAGCCATTATAGCATAAACTTACGTTCTGTTTGTGACAACAGTTGCCCCAAAATATATTCTGTAATGCCTTTCTGACTTTTCATCTTTAATCGATTAATATAGTTTTCTTTCCGTAAACCTATCAGATAAATTAATCAAATTTAATTAATTTATTATTTTCTTAAATTTTTTGCCACTAGATGGCACTACATGTAAAGCCAGAAAATCTAACGTAGATAGAAATTAATTAATTTATAGAAATTGAATCAATATTTTGGGGTGGCATGTACATTATCTAAGTTAGAAATATGCCAAGTTTCATAGCAATTGGTCGAATGGCCTAGGCATAAATAGCAAACTAACAAACAAACATCCTCATTTATATATATAGATTATATTGCATTTGTAAGCATTTTTATGCATGAAATACATCTAAAAAGTTAAAAAAAAGCTTTGTTTTGGGGAATGGGAACAGATTAATCCATTTTATATTGTTTATGGGAAAATTTGTTTCCGTTTTAGAAAAAATTGATTTATATACAGTAATACTAAAAATTGATTTATATACAGTAAACTTACGCAATAGGTGGGACCAAGCGATAACCAAGTAAGTTGAATTTTCGTAAGTCGGGGTATAATTTTGCAATTTGTGTAAAATCCAAGTCAGATGTATGTAAGCTAATAAATGTTCTCATTAATTTTATCTCGTTTTTTGATTCGTTCACGGTTACAAGAAATCACCACATAGAGTCTCTCTAGTCTCCATAGATATAACAAACACGGAAATAAATAACACAAAATAAATTGTAGCCATGTGTCAATTCCGCACGACACATAATTTAGCATGTAAATTTGTGCACTGTAACAGATCTTTTCTATGAAAAAGTGTTTAAATTGGATCACCAGGTTTATTTAATTATTATTATTACTAAGTATACTAGTAAAAAAAGAAAAGGGTCAATAAAAGTTCAAGGATTTTTGAAGGGGTCAACAATCAAAAAAGTTTAAGAACTCTAACAAATTTGTCATGTTTTTAAAAAATAGTATATGACTTCTTTTGTTTTTAGTTAGAATATATGACAGAAAAACAAATAAAATGGGTTTAGATTAAGTGAAGTTAGGATTAGTGCAGGTTTGGATTAAAAAGAGTACACTGCATTCCTTTGAATCCATGTTTACAAAGAAATTTGCAAAATCCACATTCTGATAAAAAGAAATTTTTTTAGAATAAACTATAGTTTTATAACTACAGTAGAGCATCGATTATCCAAACCAATTGGGGACTGAGGATGTTTGGAAAATCGATATCTTGGATAACCAATTATGTATGAAAAAATATATTAACCTATCCCATGTTAAAATTTTTCTCCGTTACATATCTCTTTGCGTTGAATTTTCNTATAAGGTATACATCAATATTCATACTTGAAAATTTGATTATATAATATTTCAAAATTAATATTTAAACTAGAAAAATATGTTTACTAAGATCTCAATCTTCTCCCAAACTGATTGCAGTGGAATAGATAGAAAAAGTAAAGAGATACGTCGAGTTGTCAGACATTCGATACTCTCGGTTTGTACAGGGATATAGACCAAAAGATGATATTACCATTATGGTAAGAAGTACTGTAATACAATAGCTAGCCCACACGACCGAATTTGTAGATTGTCTTTGATAAAACAGCTGATTATCTTTTTTTTATTTCAACTACGAATATTCAATAACATGGAAGTGTGTTTCCAGTTACGAGCGATTTTATTTTAATAAAATGTTTTCTTAAAAAAAAATAAAAATAAAATAAAAGCTCGGGTTTATAGTTCTGTAAAGCTAGATTTTATTACGGGAAATAGAGTAAAAGTTTATATATGATATAAGTTAAAAAATTAAATTTACCATTAAAGATAGATTTTTAATATAATAAAATTGTTTATTTTTCTTTTCTTTAATCTAATTGGACGTATCTTTACGTTTATTAAGAAATATATAATTGTATACTGTACAATACATAAATTATAATGTAAATTCTTGTTTTATTACAGGAAATATCGTTAAAATCATGGCCTTATCAAGAAAATCTTAAATTTAGCATCGATTATAAAAATCTGGACTGGACTGTAAAGTATCGGTTTGACTTCAAAATCTTGAACTTGACTAGAAAAACCTTGGGCACGACCAGAAAAACTTGAATAAAGTAGAGAAAAACTTGAACTTAATCGCGTTTGGCAAATTGATAAAAAGAAAATTTACAGGCCTACATTCGACTTTTTTAACTCCCGAGGAAAGAAAAAGAAAAATGGGGGATGCCACATCCAAACAACACGCCCATATGTACCTCGAAATGTTCTACTGGAACGGGCCCCAAATGGTTACATTCTTTTCACAAGGCCACAACGCGTTTAAAGGTAAAAAAATTATCCAAAAAGTTTTAACGGTCGGCTTTACTTTTAAATATGAAATTATCAAATTATTTTTTAACCACAGAACAATTTTAAATGGATAATTTAAATAATTATTCTATCAGCTTAATATGAAATTAGGTCTGCAAATAGGTTAAGGATTAAGATTACTCATCTTATGTTTGTTGCCGAGTAAGAGAGTTGAGAAGGGAGAAATTTATTATAGCAATTTGGTAGGAGTAGCTAGTTAGTAAGATAATTTATAAATTTATTTATCCAGAATATAATATTTGTAAGATTTAAAGCGAGTTGTGTGCTTTAATTTATTTTTAATGTAGAATGAAGTGAAGTAATCTAAAACATTTTTACGGTTAGAAAACAAAAAAAGGAAACGTTAACAAAAGAGAAACAATTCGGCAATCGGACTAACCGGCTTTCGAACAAGACTTAATGACCTAATTATTATTAATTAACAGTTTAACTAAGCTTACAGTCGAAGTTAATGATTGGTAGGAAAGCCACTAAAACCGTTATCAAAGCAGCCAACTGAACGACTGTCTACATTCCAACACCTGTTTGGGCAGATGAACAAACAATCAATGCTTGACACAAATAAAGCGTAGTATGTTGACATTAACCAACCGTTCCGATTTTCCTCTTAGCTAACGTCCAACCCCATACACGTCTGTGTACAGTGAAAGTTAAGATAGATCTGTTATTCACCCAGGTGTTTTATGCACATCCGTGTTACAATTTTAGAACTATCGACGATTCGGATCACTGACTTCCAACGATAAAACACAAGAAAGAGGAAAGAATAAGACGACAGAAAGAATAAAAAAAAATTAAGTACAATATGACCATTTTAGGTAGAATATATATTTATACCAAGCTCGGCATAATTAGCAGTTAGACATCATCTTCCTTAAAATGTTTACCTTTTAGGAATTACAAGTGCCTGAGGCTGTGTCGTGTTTGTCACAGTTTCGTGAACACATCAGCGATTATTTTTGCGGTGTGAATTTTATTGTCAGAAAGATGCCGTAAGAGTTGTTATAGAATAAGTAGAGTGAAGAAAATTGTGTTGAGTTTTCCGAACAGTGAACTCAACAGTAAAAACTGGGATAAAAGTTATCAAACTTTTGATAGAAATAAAATATCGCCGTTTTATTTATTTATTTATTTATTTTTATTTTGAACCCATTTTTCTTCCAAGTTTGATTACATTTCATTCCCCCTTTTTTTATGAATCTACCAAAGGTTTTTCAAGCTTATTTTAATCTCGGAAATGATTAAAAATGGTAAAGATGTTGTCATTTTTAGTGTTGTAAAAATAAAACTTTGTTAGAATTTACTTGTTTTTGTTGGTGTTCGGTTGGTTTTTGGGACAGTTTAAAGTATCCAAAATAAATATTTTCAGTACAAATATCACAATTAATTGCTCATAAAATACTAATTTAATCTAAAATAGAATTTTCACCGTTAATTTTTTTTTTATTATAATTTTCTCATGTATTTACTATATAAATGTTATTTTTTAAATTTTATATAAATTTTAGTGCATAGTTTCC